TAGATAATGTTGAAGAGGCTGTAATAGGAATGTAAACACAGTAAGAAATGTATACAGATGTTATTGTGTGCACAAGATATAATGTACCCCAGTCGACACACTGTATAACTGAAAGAGGATTTTATTGTTTTTGTTATTTTTTAAAAAAAAAATTAAAAGAGAGCTGGAAGGGGAGGTGGGAAGAAGATTGCTGAAAGAAATAAAATAATTAGGAATTAGTTACTAATAATTAAGAATAATTAGTTTTAGGAAAGGATGAAACTCCATTGGGATGCCCACTTCGGTAGCTGAAGACTGTTCCATGGTAGACTGGTAGACCCCTCCTAGAATCAAAATCAGAATAGAGCTAGAAGGGACCTTGGAGGTCTTCTAGTCCAGCCCCCCTGTTCAAGCAGGAGACCCTATCCCATTTCAGACAAGTGGGTGTCCTCTCTCTTCTTAGAACCTCCAGGGATGAAGCAGCCACAACTTCTGGAGGCAAGTAGTTCCACCGGTTGATTGTCCTCACTATTAGGAAATTTCTCCTTAGTTCTAAGTTGCTTCTCTCCTTGATTAGTTTCCATCCATTGTTTCTTATCCTGCCTTCTGGTGCTTTGGAAAATAAGTTGACCCTGTCCTCTTCTTTGTGGTAGCCCTTCAAATACTGGAAGGCTGCTATCATGCCTCCCCTAGTCCTTCTCTCTAGACCAGCCATACTCAAATCTTGCAAACAGTTCTTTGTATGGTTTAGTGTCCAGGCCTTTAATCATCTTAGTTGCTCTTCTCTGCACTTTTTCCTAAAAGTCTCAACCTCTTTTTTTTTGTAATGTGGTGACCAAAACTGGATGCAGGATTCCAGGTGTGGCCTTACTAAGGCTTCATAAAAGGGTAGTAATACTTCATGTGATTTTGATTCTGTGCCTCTGTTTACACAACCAAGGGTTGTATTAGCTTTTTGGGCGGCGGCTGCTGCACACAGCTGGCTCATGTTTAAGGCATTGTCCACTAAAACTCCAATGTTCCTCTCACAGTTACTGGTTTTGAGCCAGATTTCACCTAACCTGTATTTGCCTCTTTACCTGCCCAGGTGTAAAACCTTTGCTTTTCTCCACATTAAATGTATGTACAACAATCCTGTTAGGTAGGCCAGGACTATCTATTTGTAGTAGGGATGCAAAGGTAGTGTGCTTGGACACAGAGTGTTTAAGGTGAAGATCAGAATAATGAGTTCGGGTTACCTGAGTTCCAGGTAACTAAAGACAATATTTGGATTATCCCATCCCCTGTTCCTGTTATCAGTTTAGATCTCTCTCTTTTTTTTCCGTCTGATTTAGTCCCCCAAGACAATTTGATGATGAAGTGAAGGGAGATTCTCATGAATACAGAATAAATTCTTGTGAATACAGAATAAATATGATATATGAGTGGAAAGCATGAAGGAGAGAGATGGGAAAGGAAGGGTTGACAATTAGATGAACAGAAAAAGTGGGGAAGGATGGGCAGATGAGAGAGAAAGAGAGAGGGGGAAGGGATATAGGATTTGAGAAAAGGAAGGAAGGATGGATGGAAGGAAAATGGGACTCAAAAATAGAAGGGAAGAGGGGAGGGAGAGAGTGAAAGGAAAGAGAGAGAAAAGAAAGAACTAGATGACAAAAGGGATGGAAAGAGGAAGAGAGGAGGATGGGAGGAAGAGAGGGAGGAAGGAAAGATGGGAAAGGAAGGGCTGACAAACAGATGAATGGAAAGAAGGAAGGAATGATAGATGAAACAGGAGAGGGAGAGTGGAGGGGAAAAGGAGGTTGACTAAGGATGAAAGGAAAAGGAGACACAACTAGAAGGGGAGAAGGGAGGGAGAGAAGGAAAGAAAGAAAGGAGAGAGAAGAAAGAAAGAATACATGACAAAGAGAAAGAGGAGGAAGGAAGGAAGGAAGGAAGGAAGGAAGG